TAAAATCTGGGTGAGGTAGAAGTTCATTCCCTTCCCTCCTGTCCACGAGCACGGGCCCTGGGAGGTCAGAGCTGTCCCGTTCCGTGAGGTCAAGCAAGCTCAATGCTGCACTTGCGCGTGATTGGAACCCAGAGTATGAGCACAGCGAAAGGTGTTGAGGACCCTGCCGTCATTTTTATAAAGAGCTTGCTGATGGTGTCCAGTATGCTGAATAATTCTGAGGCCACGAGGGAGTTCAGAATCTAGAAGAAAAAAATAGAGGTTTGTCCTCTGCATTTGTCTCTTCCTCTGCCTGGCCTGACCTGAGTGTTATGCTACCCTAAATAGCGTATTCTGTCCGCGTGCAACAACGTAAGCTGCACGAGTGTGGACTTCTGCTGACCTGTTCCCTCCCTTTTATATAAATGTGATTTCCAGAAGCGATAACAAACACTATCCTAGTCCTGTTCTTCATCTAAACTGATAATTTTAATTAAAATGATGGCTAATCACTCAAAAAAAAAAAAAAAAAAAGAAAAGAAAAGGCAAGGGAAGCCTTGGAGAGGACAGGTACACACCCCACGGTGCGTCCTGAGGTCAGCAATCTGGTGGTAGAGGAAGCCAGAAATCATTTTATTTTATTTTATTTATTTGTTTATTTTTTTGCGGAACCGTGGATTGAACTCAGATCCTTGCGTTTGCCAGTCAAGTGCCTATCCTACTGAGCCGTCTCCCCGGCCCCCTAGAAATCATTTTATATGAGGACCCAGGAGTGTGGTGGCTTGAAGGAGGGTGGACAGGACCATATCCATCCAGGCAAGAAGAACTCTCTAACGGAAAAACCACTGGATTTAGGTTTTGGTTTTTTTTAGTGTAACATTCAAGGCTGGGGCGATGGCTCAGTGGAATGGGTGCTTCTCTGGCAAGCGCAGGGGCCTGCGTTCAATCCCTGGTTCCGCCTAAAAATAAAAAAATAAAAAAAGTATAACGTTCAATGGATTATTTCTTTCCTCAAGAGAGTTTTCTTCAGTCCATTAAGACCCAGCCCCCCTCACATGGGCTTTGGTGGAGGTCGTGGGGCAGCAGCAGCAGCAGCAGCTCTAAGTCGGGGTGGAGGAGTTCGGACCTTGCGGACTTCACAACATTGATTTCTGATCACTTTGCTGTGAAGGGCACAACTCACACAGGAATGCAGCTCCACATAGAGCTTGGAGGCACGTAACGGTCGACGACACTCGCTGAGAAATGTCCCTGACAGCGGCAGCCTCCACTGCGTTCCGAATGACAAACTTCTTCTTTTTTTTTTTTTTTTTTTTTTTTTTTTTTTGGTGGAACTGGGGATTGAACTCAGGCCCTTGCACTTGCCAGGGAAGCACTTATTCCACTGAGCCA